TTTCTTTCTTTTTTTTTTTTTTTTTTAATTTTTTTAAAGTTGTTGATAGATCTTTATTTTATTTATTTATTTTTTAATTTTTTTTAATATTTAGTTTTTAGTTATTGGCGGACACAACATCTTTGTTTGTATGTGGTGCTGAGGATCGAACCCGGGCCACATGCATGCCAGGCGAGTGCGCTACCGCTTGAGTCACATCCCCAGCCTGATAGATCTTTTTTTATTTTTTAAAATTTATTTATATGTGGTGCTGAGAATCAAATCCAGTGCCTCACATGCCAGGCAAGTATGCTATCACTGAATCATAGCCACAGCCCCCCTCCTGGTCTCTTGACATGGTGTTAAGCTATTAAATTCCTTTCTGTTCCTGTTGTTCTTATAGTATTTATATGCCTTAGAAATTACAGAGGAAAGGAAGAGTCTGTCTGCTCCTGTGCCTTAGGTCTGAAACAGATGTCATTCACTGCATGAGTCCCTACTGCCTGATGAGAGGAATAGATGACAGGTTTAATGAAGAAACAGCAAAATGAGGAACTGAAATTGTACTGCAAGAAAAAATACCTTGAGGAATAAGGGAGAATTTCTTTTTTTCTGAGATGTATTAATTACAAAGTGATTTACACAGAAAAAAAAGATAACAAATCCTAATATATTTAAATGAATGGTAAATTTGTGAAATATTTACCATATGTAGATTGTTTTATCATACTTGTTTTTCCTCCTGTGATATTTGCAGGGGGCAATGCCTAGTTGTTCCTCCTTTTTAAAATGGAAGAGTTTTTTTTTTTAATTGGTATTAATCTAACAACCACCCTATTACTATTGTTATAACCAAAGATTTTGTGGAATATTATTTACTTGAAATTCATATTGAATTTCAGATAGCAAATGTATAAGAAACACCACTATTTATAAACCACATAGTTAACCTCCTATTTATGCCAAGTAGGAAATAGACTACTATTTGTAGTTTCCCCAGGGAAATTTGTGCCCAGTCTTTGGAGTCATTTACAAACCCCCAAAACCTCCCAAAACACATACTTTTCTTTTTTGTTACGTTTAAATCATGGTCAAAAGAAAACAAACCAGAGTCCCCCATGATTTTAGTTATTTGACATTATTTTTTTTTGAATACTTTGTAGCTTTTAAAGAATTCTCAAGTTTTTCTTTATGCTGTGCTTTAATCTATTTTTGTGTAAGTCTAAAAAAGATAGGAAAAGATGGGCATGGTGGCCAGGCCTGTAATTCCAGTGGCTCAGGAGGCTGAGGCAGGTGGATCCCAAGTTCAAAGCCAGCCTCAGCAATTTAGCGAGGCCCTATCTCAAAGAAAGAAAAAAAAAAAAAAAAAAAATATATATATATATATATATATAAAGGGCTGGGGATGTGGCTTAGTGGTAAAGTGACCCTGGGTTCAATCCCATTGTATAAAAAAAAAGAAAGAAATCCTTAAGTCCACTGGTATTCTTCCTCATCTGTAGGCTCCTGCTTGTAACTTTCTCCCTTTTCCGTTGTTTAAGTGGGGGGAGGTAGATAAAGGGACGTTGGATTTGATTGGTGCATGCCCTATGGCGTGTGTGGAAGTACCACACTGAACCTCTTTGTGTGTATAATTAATACATGTCAAAATAATAATGAAGATTCTAGAGCTACATCTTTCATTTTGGGGATGAGGAGGGTATCTTTCTTGTTGTCAGTGAAGGGTTTGTTCTTCAGTTGTCGGAAATTTCAAGTTTCCTTGTCATCAGAAAACACTTATTCACCTGGTGATGTGCAAAATGAATTAGGTGGAGATCTGTGGATGTTGATGGAACTCTTTTTTTGTCCTTTCAGTTAGAATGGTTTTGAAACTAATTGAACTGGCTTAGAGTATAGGGATATTTATTTATTAGGTATTGGGGGATTGAACCGAGGTACACTTAATCACTGAGCTGCATCACTAGTCTTTAGTTTTTTGGGGGGGTTGGATACTGGGTCTTGAGCCCAGAGGCACTTAACCACTAGCCACATCCCCAGCACTTTTTTATTTTATTTTATTTTTTTAGTTGTAGTTGGACACAATACCTTTATTCTGTTTGTTTATTTCTTTGTGGTGCTGAGGATCGAACCTGGGGCCTCACACGTGCGAGGCGAGCGCTCTACCGCTGAGCCACAACCCCAGCACCCCCAGCCCTTTTTTTATATTATATTTAGAGACAGAGTCTTGCTGAGTTGCTGAGGGCCTCACTCAATTGTTGAGGCCAACTTTGAATTCACGCTCTTCCTGCTTCAGCCTCCTGAGTCATTGGAATGTGTGCCACCACGCCCCACATATTTTTTATTTTGATACATGGTCCAGCCTCTAATTTGTCATTGTCTTGACTCAGCCTTCCGAGTCACAGTGTGTGCCACTGTTCACAGTGGGAAATTTATTTTGCTATATAACCAGACTTTTAGTACCTCAGTGATACCAGAGGGGGCCCTCATTTTGGTTTTCTGTTCGGCATATTGGCTTTTTCTTCAGGGTGGTATCTTTTTAGAGTGACAAGGTATCTGCAGTAGTCTCAAACATCACACCTAGGCAGAGCAATATCCAAAGGAAGAATAAGAACAACTCTGTGATGTTTCTATAGGAGCAAGGTAATTTTTCCCAGAAAACCCATGACCAATTTCCCCTCATATCTCATTGAACACGAGGTGCCACATGCCCTTTCCTAAATCAGCCTCTCGTAAGAATGGGGTTACTGTTCAAGATTATTCCTGAGTCTGAATATAGTTCCATGTTTCCTGGATATTTGGCTACCTGAACGAGATTGGGACTCTTAGTGAGAAAGCAGCAGAGAGGAACTTATTTAGGGAACCAACACCAGCATCTAGAGTGTTCTCAGTTAGTGGTTTCCATGGTAGCCTCTGTGGTCACCAGACTTCAGGGACAACTTCTGGTCAGATGAGTCAGAACTCTAGCTGTTTCTGATGTGTCCAAGACTGTGCCCTAGGTGAGTCAAGACCCAGCTCCCTCTGCAGATCCCACAGAGTTAGCAGTGGGCATGTCTTCATTCTATAGGTTAGGAAACTTGGAAAAGTTCACTGACTTACAAAGCTCTACACCCAGTAAGCAGGGCTTCATGGAGGGTGAGACTGTTCTGGGCACTTGTTTTTCTTGCTAGGTTTGTTTAAAAAGTAATTCCAAAACAAAGTTATAAAAAAGTGACAAATTTTTTACTTTTAGGAAAATATTTCAAATACTGCCCATGGCTTTTTGTGGACATCATATGGAAACAAAGTATCAAAAGTATAGATCTGACTGGAGATTGGACTTCTGCCTCTCAGTTCTGTGGAAAGCAGTGGAAGTTGCCTTGCGTTTCTGAGTCAAGGGAATACCTGTTTCCTTTAACCTTCCTCCTGCCCGGTTCTTCAAGAGACTCTCTTTTTCCCAGCCACCAGTAACACAAGCTAGGAAAGTTTAGCACTCTTCCTGGTAACCATAGATCCCAGAGAGAAGCTCAGCCACAGAGAAGTCTCTTTTAACCTGACCAGGGCCAGGGCAGGAGCCTGTGAACAGTACTGACTAGAGTCTACTGTCACAGTGGATGCCTTCAGAAACCCTTACCAGACCTCCCTTAGGGAGCAGGCCCTCTACAATTGCTTCCCCACTTTCTGCTACATCTGCTCTTGGAGTTTCTGTTATTTTTATATTGTGCTTTACTTACTGTTGTGGCTGGAATTATTTAATTCATTCAGACAGATCTTTCTTTCAGCATTTATTATGTGCTAGAAAATGCCTTGGACCCTGGTTGGAATAAAGAAAGAATGGTTTGGTGGTGATGATAGATGAATAAATGACAGTACAGTGGTGTATTGCTGTGGTGGAGTTAGCACATTGCACCATAGAAACCTGTGTGCACCAGACTTGGGTTTAGAGAGAATGAAGACTGGGAGAGCTCCCTGCAGCAGGGAGATGCTTTGCTCTGAAAAGAGGACTAGAGAGTAGATAATTGGGCTAAAAAATGTGGGAATACAGGTGTGTACCACCACATCTAACTTAGGCAGGCAGCTTTGGATTAAATTCTGTGGTTTGACAGTGATGTTCCTATGTAGCCCATTGTCCGTAATTATGAGGTCCAGAAAATAATGTTCTATACTTCCAACCCTACAAATAACTTTATTTTTCTCTTTTTATCTTAATCTTTTAGATGTAGTCTTGCTTAGTACATTCCCTAATACTGAAAATACATTCAGTATTAAGGAATCTGGTAATGTTTTAATTTTCTTAAGAGAGAATTGACATTTTTATTTGGGTACAAAATTTTTTTCCCTGTTCCATTGGTTGGTATAAGTGAGACAGAAAAGTGTTAGACATGGTTATAAATTGACAGCCATAGATTTAAGGTAGAAGAAATCTGAAATCTGAATTCCTCTGGGAAAAGAAACTCACTAAATGACTTTTCCTCCTTGCCACCTTTAGTAGAGAAGTTTGGATGCTAATATGACCTAATTCCTTAGGCAAAAACCCTTCTCTTGAGTTAGGAAGAGCCCCTAAACAGAATAAATTTCTATTTGCTTTTTCTAATCCCTTCACCTTTCAGTGAGAAGTAAACTGAGGTAGTTGCTTTCCTGATAGCTGTTTCCTTGACCCTTCTCCTGCTGTACTGTAGCTGTAAAATCAAATCCAAGAAAGTAAGAAGGGATCTAAGGAAAGAAGAGAAGATAGGACTCTGTGCACAGAAAGATAGATGGAGAAGACTAAAGTTGCATTATTCAACAAAAATTTATAACTGCCCTCATGTTCTAGGCAGGGTTGTATATGCTGGGATACACAGAGTAGGGAACAAAACAGGCTTTGCTCTCGGGTTGCTCTGAGGACACTGTGACTTGCCAGATATTTTTTTGGTTGTGGCTTTGGTGGTGCTAGGGATCAAACCCAAGGCCTCATATGTGCTAGGTAAGTGCTCTGTCACTGAGCTATATCTCTAGCCTTTGGCAGATGTTTTGATTCCCTTTTCCTGTCTTCTTTTCTGTAGGCTAGAATAATAAGCTGAGTGGACTCTAACCATTGGCCTTCAACTTGCCAGCACCTTGTACCTAGCTCTCCTTTTGTGGCTCATGTGCTGCATCCTCTGCCCTCAGTGTGCAACTGGGCCCCAACGCAATGTGTGTTTGTCAAACCATGGAAGTGGGGCAGTATGGCAAGAACGCAAGTCGGGCCGGAGACCGGGGAGTCCTCCTGGAGCCCTTCATCCACCAGGTGGGAGGACACAGCAGCATGATGCGCTATGACGACCACACTGTGTGCAAGCCCCTCATCTCCCGGGAACAGCGCTTCTATGAGTCCCTCCCTCCTGAAATGAAGGAGTTCACCCCTGAATACAAAGGTCAGTCAATGGCCATTTTTGTGAGAGTAGCAGCTGTGGCCTTATAAACTCAGTTGTCTGTTTTGTTTACCATGTGATATGATCGTCGTCTTCTGGTGTCAAAGCAGCTAAGTTACTTTAAACAAGGCAAAATTAGAAGCTGAAAGTGTCATAAAGGTCTTTAGACCTTGACAGTTGAACTCACTAATAGGTAAAGCTGAGAAAAAGTCAGCTTAAAGACCCAGTGCTGCCTTCAAGATTTCCTATTTGGAGGTAGATATGGTGGCACATGCATGTAATCCCAGTGACTCAGTGTTAAAGTGCCCCAGGGTTCAACTGCCACTAATAGAAGGGGGAAAAAAGTTTTTAGATAAGGAAAGAAGCAGACAGAGAAAAAGTCTCTGGCCCTAGAAAAGGACAAATTGATGCTTTCCAGGTTAGGGCAGTTGCACAGCTAGCAAGAGGCTCTGTTGATCCTCTGTTGTGCTGGGGGAATGGATTTATGGAAATTTCTGGGACTTGGGAGTCCTTTAACATTTTATGGAAGAAATAATGTTTTAAAATGTGAGTTAATTTTGTAGAAAGAACCTGTGAATACTATACTGGAATGAGTCACTTTATTTTAGCATCTGATCCTTATGCATTTTTATATTTATGCATTTTTATGATTGCCCATTGTAAACTATTTTTTTCTTTTTTCTTTTTTTTTTTTGATACTGGAGATTGAACTCAGGGGCACTCAACCACAGCCACATCCCCAGTCCTATTTAGAGACAGGATCTCACTGAGGTACTTGGAGCCTCACTTTTGCTGAGGCTGGCTTTGAACTTATGATCCTCCTGCCTCAGCCTTCTGAGCCGCTGGGATTAGAGGCACATGTCTCTGTACCTGGCTAAATCTTTTTTTTAGGTTCTGTTTTTATAAAATCCCCTTTTCCCCCCACTGGTGTTGGGAATTGAAACAAAGGCCTTATGTCTGCCAGGCAAGTGCTCTACCACTGAGCCCTAGTCCTGTAATTTTCTTTTTGAGGAATTGTCAAACTTTTTTTCCACAGTGGTCATACCTTTTTACATTCTTAGTAGCAGTGTATGAGGTTTCCTATTTCTCTATAGCTTTGCCAGCACTGTTCTGTTCTTATTTCTCTTTTCTTAGCTGTCCTAGTGGTTATGAGTGAACTCTGATTAGGCCTATGATTTGCGTTTCCCCAGTGACTGATGTTAATTAAGCATGTTTTTCATGTGCCTGTTGACTATTTGTATAATAAATCTTCTTAGAGAAATGTCTATTCAAGTCCTTTGATCATTTTTTAATTGGGTTGTTTCTTAAAACTTTTTTGGTGGGGGGTTACTGGGAATTGGATCCAGGTCATTCTGCCACTGAGTTATATCTCCATTCCTTTTTGTTTGTTTGTTTGTTTGCTTTTTGAGACAGGATCTTGCTTGATTGTTGAGGCTGGTATTGAACTTGCTATCGTCTTTCCTCAGTCTCCCGAATAGCTGGGATTGAAGTCTTCTTAACTACCACACCTGGTGTTTCTTAACTCTTAATTGGCCAAAAGAAGTTTTTAGAATACCCCAAGCTTTTTTTTTTTTTTTTAATCTTAGGGTCTTAACTTGGAATGTTCTTTGTCCACAACTTCTCCTCATCCTTCAGTCTACCCAGATACTCCTTCCCTGATCATCCTATATTAAGTGTTCTGCTCTGTAAATATTTCCAATTTTCTTTCTTTTTTTTTTTTTTGGTGGGGGGGATACTTGGGATTGAACCCAGGGGTGCTTAACTGTTGAGTCACATCCCCAGCCCGCCTTTTTTTAAAAATGTATGTTTTAGTTTTTTGTTGTAGTTGGACACAGTATCAATTTTTTATTAATTTACTTTTAGTGGTGCTGAGGATCAAATCCAGGGTCTCACATGTGCTAGTCGAGCACTCTACTGCTGAGCCACAACTCCAGCCCCTCCCCAGCCCTTTTTTACATTGTATTTAGAGACAGGTCTTGTTGAGTTGCTTAGGGCCTCACTAAGTTGCTGAGGCTGGCTTTGAACTTGCAATCCTCCTGCCTCAGCTTCCCGAGATGCTGGGATTATAAGTGTGTGCCACTGCACCTGGTTTCACTTAATTTCTTCATAGCACTTAGCAAAATCTGTAATTGTTTTGTCCATGTTTACTCTTTGTTTCTCACATTAGCATATAAGCTCTTTGAAAATATAGACCTTAATTTGTCTTTTACACTAGTAAGCAGAAGACCTAATATCTAGTAGATGCTCAGTGAATACTTGGTAAATGAATGAGACAAATCTTATTTGCATAAATATACAGAATCTTTGACATTCCCCCTTAGTACAACAAGCAGTAACACTAGATGATTGTGGTTGATATACTAATAAATGAAAATCTGTTGCCAAGATATGGAACATTATTGGTGGGTTTTTTTTTCTTTTTTCTTTTTTTTACTTTTTTAAAAGAGAGAGTGTGTGTGAGAGAGAGAGAGAGAGAGAGAGGGAGAGAGAGAATTTTAATATTTATTTTTTAGTTTTTGGAGGACACAACATCTTTGTTTGTATGTGGTGCTGAGGATCGAACCCGGGCCGCACGCATGCCAGGCGAGCGCTCTACCGCTTGAGCCACATCTCCAGCCCTCTTTTTTCTTTTTTTGTATCAGGGATTGAACCAAAGGTGCTTAACCACTGAGCCATATCCCAGCCCTTTTTTATTTTGAGACAGGGTCTTACTAGGTTGTGTATAGCCTCTCTAAATTGTTCAAGCTGGCTTCAAACCTGTGATCCTCTTACCTCAGCTTCCTGAGCTGCTGGGATTATAGGCATGTGCCACTGTGCCTGGCTCCTTATTGGTACTTTTTTCTTAGCTTGGTTGAGTTTTAAAACACCTATATTGGGGCTGGGGATGTAGCTTAGTTGTTAGAGTGCTTGCTTCTCGTGCACAGGGTTCAGTCCCCAGCACTACAAAAAACAAACAAACAAAAAAACAAAAACTCTATGGCAATAAATAGATGGGCTAGTATTCATACATGTATTTCCTAGCTTTGTCTGCTAAAAGGGCTTAATAGCAATGATACGTCTGTAGCAATCAATATATCTAACTCTATCATCTTGATTTTTCTAATTACCATTTCCACAATTACAAGAAGCAGAGCTTCTTGGTAAAATGATTGGCTTCTAAGTTGAGACAGGAAAAGTAATTCCTGTGATAAAAAGTTAAAAAAAATTTTTTTCAAAAATAATGGAAGTGCATGTCAAAAGTACTTAAAGAGCCAACTTTAAAAGAGTTCCAGTGGCCAACTCAAGAAGAATTTAAACAAAATATTCATAAATCCACGCTAGATAGATAGATGAGTATGAAGGGACTGTTCTTACTTATGGAACTCTAATTCCTTTTAATTAATAAATATAGGAACAATGATGAAAACAAAATGTCCAGTAGGCATACAACACAGTAATAATTGTAGCAAGCAAGAGCCATCATGGATCCTAAAATTACTGGGCTAAAAGTATAGTAAGAAACAGGATATTTAGAGAGTCTCAAAGCATCTACACATAAAATGCTCATAAATTACAACAGGAAAGGGCTGGGGATGTGGCTCAAGCGGTAGCGCGCTCGCCTGGCATGTGCGAGGCGTTGGGTTCGATCCTCAGCACCACATACAAATAAGATAAAAATGTGTGTCCACCGAACACTAAAAAATAAATATTTAAAAAAAAAGAAAAAAAAATTACAACAGGAAAAAAGCTGTATAGTGGAAAAGTCCAACATATATCATCTTAACTAAGTGATCAAAGTTAAATCACCAGTAACAAGACATGGGACCTGGGTTGTATCTCAGTGGTAGATCTCTTGCCTAGCATGTGTCAAGCACTGGGTTCAATTCTCAGCAATGCATATAAATAAATAAAAGGTTCATTGACAGTTAACAACAAGCAAGGCATATACCTCCTGAAATGATGAGGACTCAGGTTGCTGCCCAGAATAAATGGCCTCAATTTAATCATGAGGAAACACAAGATAAACCAAATTCAGGAACATCTTAGAGAAAAACCACTAGTATTCTTCAAAAGTGTTGTGGTCATTAAGGACTGAGGAATATTTCCAGATGGAAGGAGACTAAGGAGAATTAATGTGAAATCCTAGACCATAAACAGAATTAGTGTGAAAACTGCCAAAATTTGAAGATTAGTTAATATCATTATGTCTGTGTAATTTACTGGGTTTTTTTTATTTGTTTGTTTTTAATACTTATTTTTTAGTTTTAGGTGGACACAACAATATCTTTATTTTACATTTATGTGGTACTGAGGATCGAACCCAGTGCCTCGTGCATGTTAGATGAGCACTCTACCACTGAACCATAATCCTAGCCCCTAATTTACTGTTTTTGATATTGTAAATTGTGCTATGGAGCAGGCACATTGGCACATGCCTGTAATCCCAGCAGCTCTATAAAACAGATTGAAATTGGAGTTTAAAAACATTCCCACAATGGGGACTGGGACTGTAGCTCAGTGGTAGAGCATTTGCCTGGCACATGTGAGGCACTGGGTTTGCTCCTAGCACCACATAAAAATAAATAAATTTTTGTGTCCATCTACAACTAAAAAAAATTTTTTTTTAAGAAACATTAAAAAAGGACTGGGATGTGGCTCAAGTGGTAGCGCGCTTGCCTAGCATGCGTGAGGCACTGGGTTCGATTCTCAGCACCACATAAAAATAAAATAAAGATATTATGTCCACCTAAAACTAAAAAAATAAATATTAAAAAAAGAGAAATATTAAAAAAATTCAGGCCCAGATGCCTTCACTGCTAAATTATGCTAAATATCAAAACCAAATATTATCTACGCAAGCTCTTCTGAAATTTTCAAGAGGGACTACTTCCAAACTCATTCTAGAAGCCCATTATAAAAAATATAAAATATTTTTCATGAACCTACACATATGAACAAAATTTTAGCAGATCAAATCAACAATATATTAAAATGATAATACAACATGACCAAGTGGGATTTATCTGAGTAAACAACAGATCAGGGTAGAGGTGGTAGTCATCTTCTTTTGGAAAGATGATGTCTGCTGGCTGCTATTCCTCTATCAGTCAGTATTTGGTTAAGGGAAAGTAAAGCCTGTGTGCAGTGGAAATGCAGATGCTAATAATCTGTGCTACATGGAACCAGCCTGTTGACATTTGTTTACTGGCTGCCTTTTTTTCAACAGGTGTGGTATCTGTCTGTTTTGAGGGGGACAGTGATGGTTACATCAACTTGGTGGCCTACCCTTATGTGGAAAGTGAGACCATGGATCAGGATGACACATCAGAACGGGAGCAACCTCGGCGCAAACACTCCCGACGGAGCCTGCACCGGTCAGGCAGTGGCAGTGACCATAAGGAGGAGAAAGCCAGCCTCTCCTTTGAGACCTCTGAGAGGTAAGAGGATGGCAGGCAAAGCTTCAGTTATAATCTTTTCCTGCTGGCATAAGTACTCAGGACATATTTAGAGACCTGACACATCATGGGGAAGCATTTTCTAAAATTCAGGAGGATGATTAGTATTCTTGGGTTACCCTTGCAGGTGTGGCCTCCCCTGTGTGTCACATAAACCCAGTGATGCATCTTTCTGGAGATGGCCATAACTAATTAAGAGAGACTGAAACTCTCTCAACCCTTTGGAAGCAAGGATGCCCTGTACTGGTGACAATAGGTTCTGTGGTTTTCTGCTATGTCTCATACACATAAGAGAGAATGTTGAAAAGTATTGGTCTACAGTGAGATTGCAAATGCTTTCTGACTTACAGGATGTCCAAGCATGAGACCCATGATAGGCCATGCAGTCTAATATTACCCTAATGGTTTTGTGTCTAGCCTCTGTAAATCTGATATCAGTAATCCTATCCCTGAACCTAAAACTTATTGTATTGGGATTTGATTTTTCTCAAAGATTTGGAAATCCTTGTATTTCTTGCAAAAATTAATGTGAGCTTCCACTAGGATGGATATAATCAAAAGGATGGACAGTGAAAGTAATAACAGGAGTATAGAGAAATTAGAATCCTCCTCCATTGCTGGTGGGGAAGTAAAGTGGTGTAGCTGCTTTGGAAACAATCTGGCAAGACTTCAAAAAGTTAAACCCAAGCCAGGCACAATGGCACCTGCTTGTAATCCCAGTGATTGAGGAGATTGAGTGAGACAGGAGGATCTTAAGTTCGATGCTAACCTGGGCAACTTAGTGAGACCCTGTCTCAAAAAGGGGGTTAGGGAATGTAGCTCAGTGGTAGAGCGTGACTGGATTTAATCCCAAGTACCCAGGGTTGGGGGGAAGGTAGTTAGTCACTTAACTCCTAGGTATTTACCCAAGAGAATTGAATAGTATATTCATACAAAACTTGTACATAGATTTTCTTAGCATTATTCCTGATAGCCAGACCATGGGAACAACCCATGTCCATCAGTGGGTAAATGGATAAGCACAGCATGGTACGTATATCTGTACACTGGAATTTTATTCAGCCCTTAAAAAGGAATAGAGTACTGATAAAACATACTATACAGATGACTCTTAAAAACATTAAGTGAAATAAATCAGACACAAAAGACCATATACTACATGATTCTATATATATATATATAAAGTAGTTAGAACAGGCAGAGCCATAGAGAGCGAGCAGTTTAGTGCTTGCTTTTGTTAGTAAACACAGTGGTAGTGGCAAATAGAGAGTGACTGTTAGAGGTGACACAGTTTGGTTTTGGGGTGAATAAAATATTCTGAAAATTAAGTAGTGGTTATATCCTCAACCTTGTGAATACAGTACTAAAAAACCACTGAGTTGGGGCTGGGGATGTGGCTCAAGCGGTAGCGCGCTCGCCTGGTGTGCGTGTGGCCCGGGTTCCATCCTCAGCACCACATACAAACAAAGATGTTGTGTCCGTCGAAAACTTAAAAAAAAAAAATATATATATAAAATTTCTCTCTAAAAAAAAAAAAAAAAACACCACCACTGAGGAGTAAAATTAATAACATTAGTATGGACTGAAAATAAAGTGAACTTCCTAAAATAGTGAAATAAAAATTGTACAATTAAATTACTTCATATTTAATTTCATTTAAGTAAGTTTCAGTGAGTAGGGTGCTCTATGACTTGATTCAGAAGTTGAAATTGGGGCGGGGCTGGGGATGTGGCTCAAGCGGTAGCGCGCTCGCCTGGCATACGTGCGGCCCGGGTTCGATCCTCAGCACCACATACAAACAAAGATGT